CAGAAACCACACTGAAAAGTCAATGGTGGAGATGATGGTGGGAACTGACATAAGGATCAGTTAATCCAGTAAACGCATTGAACATTACTACTACACCCTCAGGGCCGAAAAGTGAAGGTGGCCAGCTGTAAGTCAGTGAAGGGAAAGGCATGACCATTACAGAAAACACAGATTCTGGCCATGCCTTCTCAGCTGCCATAATGAAACGGCTCCTGTCTCCATGTCTAACTTTATGCTAAGAGCTGCTACAGCAGCCCTAGTGACACAGGAAGATGCTGTGAATAGGCTGTGCCACTGACACAGGCCAGGCACATTTTCATGTTTCTACAATTTAGAATTTATCGAATAGCAATAAGCTCACAAGCTAGAGTGACTTCACTGGCTTCAACGCACCAGGTACTCTTGGGTTCCCTCAGTGGCTGTAAGCATGGCAATTGCAGCCCTTTACTCCATTCCCATCTTAATTACTAATATCTATGGCATCCAATTCACACATTAATACTTCACACAATGATACACAGATTATAGCAAGCTAATAAAGGGTTCAAAGAGGCCAAAGAATTTTGAAAGGCTGCACTGAGAGCAAAGGCAGAGAGTCATAGGTGCAAGAGTCCCGGCAGGCAGCCAACAACACAACAGCCCAAGGCCCAGGGCTGGCAGACGGAGCGGCTCGGGGCAGTTTCAGTGTCAACTTGACTCGAGCTGTGCACCATGGGCTGGAGAAACCAGTGCTTTCTTCAGGGTCAGATGTAAGGGCTTTACTGTGGCAATTTTCCTGAGCAAGGCTCATAGCAAGTGACCAAGTAACAGAGTCAGTGGTGTGCCCATAGGCAGTCTCAGGTGCCCTATCTTCAAGTATTTTAAGTGAGGAGGGTTATACCTGCTGTGGTGAATAAGCTCATGTGTGGGGTTTCTCATATGATCTTACATGTCCATGTAATCATTTGCTTCTGGTTTGATTCAGCAAGTTAATTTTTAATTAATTCATGTCTTTTTTGAGACAGGGTCTCACTCTGTAGCTCAGGCTGGCCTCGGACTCACACTGATCCTGTCTCAGCCTCCAAATGCTGGGTTTACAGGCATGTGCCACTATGCCTGGCAGGAAGTTAATTTTTATTGGCACAAATAAGTTATGTTTCAGTTTGTGCCTTGTGGCTGTGCTGGGCAAATACTGACTCTTTACTCCTATAGTATTTTCTTTTTTTTTTGTGGTACCGGGGATTGAACACAGGACCCTGCGCTTGCTAGGCAGGTGCTTATTCTACTGAGCTATCTCCACAGCCCTGTTTACTCCTATAAACAAGGTGCAGAGTTATTCTCTCCTGGCACTTGCACTCACAATGGAATCACTCACTCTGTTGCTTTCTAAGGCGGAATCCCTTGGCATGAGAGATGCTGGTCTACATCTGTTCATCACAAAGACAGGAGGGATTTGATGTGAAGTAAAAGCAAGTTTTCGTTATTTCACATATTATTATAATAAAATCATTTAAGAATTAAGTCAAATATACAGGGAACAAAATGACACTTGCTTTGTAAGCCTATTTTTGTTGAAAAGAAACCTGGATCTCAGCAGACTACAGGTGCCTGTGTGCAGCTGGGTGTAGCCAGCACCTTCAAGACCCCTGAGTGGCTCAGGGTAAGCTATGGACATCTGTTACCAGAGACTTGGAGCGCTGCCCTGCAGGCTCCCAGCTGTCCCAACTGTCTCAGCCTTAGAAACACTGCCCGCACCTCTAGGTGCTCAGATCCAGGAGCCAACCCTGAACAGTACACAGAGGTCTCACCGCTGCCTCTTCCTTGTAAGAGCAGTTGCACTGCCCAGTATAAAAGTGAGGGCCCATGCAGAGGGGAACCCTAAGATACTGGCATGGCTCAAATTGCAGAGATCATCTCTTATTTCTCACAGGGGTAGGGAAGTGGGGGAGCAAGGGATGGTGGCCACCATCCTCAATGGTGATCCAAAAAACCCCTTGGGTTGGTGCCAAAGCAAAGAATAAATAAAAGAACCAGAAACCCAACTTTTTGGAAAAATTGATGTCTATGAAAAAAAAAAAAAGAGAGTAGAAGTTATATAATTAGGTTCCCAACACACTATGAAGATACATTGGTTGAAGAAGGCACACAAAGGATTCTTCTTTAAAATCTATTTATTTATTACACTCTGGTTTGAACCTAGAGCCTTTGTACTGCACTGAACTACATCCTCAACTCCTTTTTTATTTTGAGACAGGATCTCTTAAGTCACTAGGTTGCCCAGACTGGACTTGCAATCCTCCTCCCTCAGCACCCCAGAGTGCTGGAATTATAGGCACGTACCACCACACCAGATTTAAAATCACTTAACATTTTATTCAATAATTAAACTTTAGCTCTACCTGTCTCAAATGTTGCTGATTCTAAATGTTTAAATGCCTACACCCAAAGTACCAAAGTATATGCATTGGTCCACACTAATATGCCCAATAACTGGGTAAATAAACAGGGACCAGAGACAAATGTCCCTAGTAGATCCCTTTCTCCAGGGAGGGAAGAACTCCCTTACCACAGTGAAAACCCACAGCACCCCTCTCTCCATGAACCACGGGAGAGAAAGGAGAAGTCACTGTCATTACATCTTCCTTCTACCAAACCCTGACTTGTAGAGGAGCTGAACCACACACCTGCCAGGCACCATCACAGGCATGTCATGTCAACCCCTGTCCCCAATAGATGGCTTTTCCTCTACCAGGTAAGTGGGGCTTGAAGGAACAGGCTGTCTAATTTCCATTTTGAGTGTTGAGGAGAACCCATTTCCTAACTAAAAAGTCTTCACTGTCTTATGCTTTTTCTATATCACTCTTTCCCCACATCTCTAACAACCCAAAGCCTGCAACATGTGGGAGTCAGAGTCTCCTGCCATGGTCACATGCTCCCAGGCAGAGTTTTTCCAGTGGGAAAGACACAAGACAAGTCCCTCAGGCTGGTTTCTAAACACTCCAATGTGGGATTAAGCTCTTTGGACCAACATAAGTCTACAGATTTAACTGAAAAGTATCTTTTAAAGCAAAACAGAAACACTGAGATTCTTCTGGTTGCAAAAAGCACACTACGTACCAAAGACGCATCTCGGGATGGCTGGTCACTGCTGTGTGCCCCCACGGGGCGTCCTGATCTCAGTACCTCCTGCTACCATGGCTGGGCAGCAGCCCTAGAAAGTCTCTCTCAAGTCATCTGTATTAAAATCACAATCTGACAAAACTAAACAAAAAA